AAGTCCGAACAAGAGCTGAAGAAGATCTTTCGATTAAGAGCACGCGTTGCACTCTTTTTCGGCAAGGTTTTTAATGAGGCAACCATCGATCGTGCTGCACTTTAAACAATATCTGAGGCCTCTTTCCGACAGACCTCGAATACCGGGGGAGCATCAAGGCCCTCAAATACATCAAGTTCAGATCAAATACACCGAGTTCAAATGCAAGAAAGTCATCTCATAATAATAGGGTTCCAACAGGAAAATTTGTAAAAGCCAAATAGTCAAAATGAACCATGCTCATATATATTGACCCAAACATAAACACATGCGCAACGACTTGAGATTTATTGTGCAACCAGAATTAAGATTCACTCAAATATTAAGCCTACGGGCTACTATTATTCTGAGTTCGAGCAAGCACTCACTCTACCACTAAGCCTACGGGCTACTTTCATTTCGAGTTCGAAAAGATCACTCGAATATTAAGCCTACGGGCTACCTTTATCTCGAGTTCGAAACACTCACTCGACCATTGTGCCTACGGGCCACATTATCTCGAGTTCGAAACACTCACTCAACTATTAAGCCTACGGGCTATTGTTATTTCGAGTTCAAGCAAGCACTCACTCGACCATTAAACCTACGGGCTACTTACATTCCGAGTTCGAAATAATCACTAGAATATTAAGCCTACGGGCTATGGGCTACCTTTATCTCGAGTTCGAAACACTCACTCGACCATTGCGCCTACGGGCCACATCATCTCGAGTTCGAAATATTCACTCGACTATTAAGCTCACAGGCTACTGTTATTCCGAGCTCGAGCAAGCACTCACCCGACCATTAAATCCTACGGGCTACTTACATTCCGAGTTCGAAATAATCACTCGAATATTAAGCCTACGGGCTACCTTTATCTCGAGTTCGAGCAAGCACTCACTCGACCATTACGCCTACGGGCTACAATATTTCAAGTTCAAAACATTCACTCGACGGCTAAATAGCTACTTTTACTCTGAGTTTACATCAACTCAACCATTACATTACACCTACAGACTACGTTCCTTCAAAGTTTGAATCATCGACTCAACAATCAAAACCAGGGGCTACAAATCTGATCGATCAGAGAGACTACAAGGTCAACATTCGATTAAAAGTCTTCAAAAAACAAAAACAAGTCGATCTGATTATACATATATATATACAAAAATTGCCTACGAGATTAATATACAAACATGAAGAATCAGAAACTAAGCTTCCTGGTCGGGCTCTTCCTCGTCCTCGGATCCGCTTTCGCTACCATCATCATCATCATCAAAAGCCAAGGCTTTAGCTTTCGCTTCAAGCTCTTTTGCCTTTTTTAACTTTTCGGTAAGATCAAAACCTCGAGCGTGTATCTCCTCGAGGGTCTCCCTCCGAGACCTGCACTTAGCAAGTTCGGCAACCTAATGAGCTCGAGTATCGGCGATCTTCGCCGCTTCCCGGGCCTCCATCTGAGCAGCCTCAGCATCAGCCCGATATACAGCAATGGATATATCTGCCAAGACTTTTGACGACTCAACCTCCGCCTTAGCCTCAGCAAGTCATGTTTCAAACTCCTTGATCTTCTTAGCTTGAACCGACCCCTTTTGCTTGACACTTCGAAGTTGAACGTCGGCCGATAATAATTTTGTTAAGATGGTTTCTTTTTCCGCTGCCAGGCGGTCGAGGGTCTCCTTCCACCGATTGCATTCAGCTCGAATTTGATCGACTTCTTCTCAAAGTAACCCGATCTTTTTGATCTTTTGTTGCAACTGAGACAATGAAGGGTTAACTTCCACGGCTGAGTCAGGCCCATAATTTAACAGAACGAGGCTCACCTGCTTATCGAGCTCGACCCCTTCTTCACGGACCTTAGCCAAATCCGCTTGGAGGTCCTTTATAGCCTCGTCCTTTTAGCTGCAAAGAAGCGGCGGGGCATCTCTCTCACCTGAGACCTTCCGGAGCTCGGCCTCATACTGGCTAAGATCAAATCGAAACCTACTAATGTCCTGCACAGTAAGAAACACGAGTCAAGTATGGAAAAGAACAAAGAAACCAAGTATGGAAGAATCATTACCCGAGTAATGAAACGCCGAGCCTCCTCTAATAAAAGAGAAGCGTCACCGATATCGGAACCATAGTCGACTCCAGTAAAACAATCCCTAAAAGGATCCCCTGCACCAGAGCCTATGCCGATATCAGGAATCTTCAACTCTCGAGCATCCTTAAGTGCCTCCTCAGAAAAGATGGAAGAGAAGGCGAGTCACCCATTGTCATAGCCCCGAGCAAATCGCTCGGAGTACTTCGGTCGAGATTCTGGTCTTCGAAAACAACCCCAACAGGCACAGTCGCCATCGGCTCGGGAGCTCAGGCAACCTCGTAGCCTTCATAGATCGGACTACCAAAGCCGAGGAGCTATCTTCTTCTTCTTCTTCTTCTTTTTCTTCTTCTTCTCTCAGTCATTGGACCGACTCAATCGAAAGGGCAATTGCTTTTCTCCTCACCCTTCGAGCTTTGGGCTTGGGGTCCTCTGACCGAGAGGAAGCTTTTCGCTTCATATCTTCCCCCTGTTTAGGGACCAGGGGCTTGTTTCCTTCTTCACCGCTCGAAGGCCTCAAAGCAGCATCCCTGGTTACGCCTGCACAAGAAGAAATCATTAACGAATAGAACGCAAAGAATACTTCGAAGGAAACAAGAAGCAAACCCCACCATGATTCTTGGCCTCCTATCTGCCTTTTGCCAAATCACGCCAAGCGCGCTCGGTGTAAGAGGAGGTCGAGGCCAACTTCCGAACTCAGTCCTCGAGGTCAGGCACCGCTTGTTGCATCCAAGGGGCAGCTGAACATCAGGGAAAGACATCAGAAAAAGTCGAAAAAGTACCTGAAAAGTGAACAAAAATAACGTACGGTCAAAATTTCATTCTTCAGGGAACGGCATCTTTTCCTCCGGAATGAGATCATGGGTCCTCACTCGAATATAACGACCCATCCAACCCCGATCCTTATCTTCATCGATGCTCGACATCAATGCCTTTGATGCTCGACGAGGAAGTTTGATTAGTCCTCGAAAGATCTGAGGCCGATACAGTCGTATGAGGTGGTTCAGAGAAAAATCCAACCCCCCGGCTTTGATAGAGAAGAAGCGCAATAAGATCACTATACGCCATAAAGAGGGATGAATTTAGCCAAGGGTGACTTGATACCTTTTGCAAAAATCAATAATCACCGGGTCGACGGGCCCTAGTGTGAAGGGATAAGTATAAACACTTAAAAAACCCTCCACATAAGTGGTAACATTCTCATCAGAAGACGGAATTTGCAACATGAACTCGGAACCCTAGTTGCAGTCTTTTCTGACGGTCTCGAGGTGATCCTCCGTTATAGAGCACATATACATCGATACGTGTTCACATCGACCCGAAACGGAAGAAGGGTTCTCCACCTTAAAATCGGTCGTCAAAATGCACGGGCCAGGAACATAGTCATGAACTGACGGCTCCACCGGTGCCTTATTATCAGACGATCGTGAGGAAGAAGCTTTTTCCTTCTGAGGTACGGTTTTAATAGTTTTCGCCATCGATATGAAAGGAAAGAGTGCAAAAGAAGGTGAAGAAATAGACAGCACCAAAATTCTGGTATGTGCGGCCCCGTAGCAGAGAGGATGAATAAGAAAGTTTGGAAGAAGAGAAGTTGCAGAAGTGGTAAAGGTTGTATGGAAAGACTATTTATAAACTAAGGCATGACGGTTCGGTATCAGAGATGGCCGACCACCGTTTGACACACATTAAATGCCTCGGTAAAACCGAGCCGATGGTACAGCTACCACAAACGTCAAGATCGGGTTCGATAGAAACGTCAGCATAAATCTGATCGAGCTGCAGGAAAATCATATCGTTCCTCGCCACATCCTCTCCGAGAAACGAGGGGACTATCTGTGTACAGTCAAAATCAATTCCCAGTCATAAGGATCGGTCGAGACAATGACGTTTCAATCGAAGGGTATCCACATGACAAGCTCGAACGAATTCCGAAGTAGAGACGTCGAGCTTCGAACTATAAGACCAATCGACGGCAAAACCCGATATCATTATCGAGCCCGTGTCCGAATCGGACTACAGGACAACACCGATCGACACAGGCCATGAATATTGATGCCCCAAGGCAGAACCGAGCTCGAACCAAAACTCGGGATTCAATCTAACACCGAGCTCGAGTCAGTGCCAAACTCGCAGACAACAGCCGTTACAACCGCACCAAGGGAGAGAATCTTGGCGAGAATCAAGGAAGAGACAAATTATCATGAGTTCTCCACTATATTTATTATTTTATTATATTTTTTTAGATAAAGTAGCGACCCCTTACTATAAAAAGGGAGATAGACTGCAATAGACACAAGTCCTCCAAGATACATTAAGATTTCAGTGTGCTTGTTTTTTCTAATTCAATTCAGTCTTCCCGTCCATCATTCACATTTTATAGCAAAAATACTTGTATTTGTCATTTTGTTTCAAAGGAATTTGCATACCTTTAGAACCATATCTAAATTTAACGTTATCCGATTTTTCGGGTAAACAATTTTATATATTTAATTTCAATGTAATGAATCAAAAATCCAACAAGAAATAATTTATATATTACTATCCCTACATAATTCATTCGTACCAGACGTCCCCCAACATGTTCATTTCCATTTGAAAAATCAAAATCTTTTTAACGTTATAACTTTCTCATATATCTTTAAAATATTTTAATTATAAACAATGAAATTGATGATACCTTTTTATTTTTATAAATTAAGTTCAACAAGAATAATGAAACCACTGTCCAAATTAAAGGTTTTGATCACGGATTCTGAATCATGTTAATAATTCTTTTTAGGAGAGAAATGAAGAGTACTTATAGAATTGATAAGTCAAATTTCAGATTTCAGAAATAAAAAGAAAGGGAGTAGCTAGTAAGTAGTAGGCCAACATATACATTAAACTCTGATATAGGTAGAGTCTATAGAGTGAGAATATGAGGTGGGTGTGTGGTTTGCCAGCGAAGAAGCAGAAGGATCAATGCTCTCTCTTTCTCTCAGCTCAGGTCAAAGCTGGCACTCTGTATTAAGCCCCTCTCTTTTTCCTCTTCTCTTATTTACATCTCCTTTCCTCTACATCTCCCCTTCACACTCTCTCTCTCTCTCTCTCTCTTCACTTCGAAGAGGGAAAATTAATGAGAATTTGAGAACAAAGAAGAGAGCATTTTCTTGGCATTTTAATGGTTGATCATTGTACAACAACCAACATGGCTGCCTCTCCTTCTATCTCCTGTTCTGAAAAGAAACATTGGTGGATTAGCAACAGAAAGGTAATTAAAAATCTTTTCTTTCCCCCCCAATCTAATCTAACATATATTCAAGTTCTAATAATTTATTAACATTTGTTTTACAGATTGTTGACAAATATATCAAAGATGCAAAACTTCTTATTGCAACACAAGAACCCAACGAGATTGCTTCGGCCGTTAACCTTCTCGACGCCGCACTCTCTCTATCACCTCGGTTTGAACTTGCCCTCGAGTTAAAAACTCGATCTTTACTCTATCTCCGGCGATTCAAGGACGTCGCCGGTATGTTACAAGACTACATTCCCAGCCTAAAACTTCCCGCCGATGAAACATCGTCCACGTCATCCACTTCGTCTTCTGGGTCTTCCGATAACTCATCCTCACAGCTCTCAAGAGAGAGAGTGAAGCTACTTTCTTCGGGTAGTGACTCACCGGGTCGGGACGAAACCAGTTTCAAATGCTTCTCTGTTTCTGATTTGAAGAAGAAAGTTATGGCTGGTCTTTGCAAGAACTGTGATAAAGAAGGGCAATGGAGGTAATTTTGCTGTTCTATTGATTGGCTTGTAGATTACGCCATAACAGCTAGCTGTCTCTGTATTAATTGATGAATTGTCCTAATCTTGATATATTTATTTCTTTTTCAAGTCAAATCTGCTTTGTTATTACTTTACTTCTTTATTGTTTATTCACTTACATTTTAGTAGTACTAATAACTACTCCTTGAAAAATGTAGTCTTTATTGAAATTTCTGTGTGTACTTGAGGCTTAAATCTATGGTGAACGAGCTGACTCGGACTCACACTCGTTCGTTATTTGTGTATTTTTTTCAGGTACTTGGTTTTAGGTCAGGCTTGTTGCCATTTGGGTCTAATGGAAGACGCGATGGTTCTTTTACAAACCGGTAAACGCATCGCGACGGATGCATTTCGTCGCGAAAGCATTTGCTGGTCTGACGATAGTTTTTCGTTTGCCAAATTCCCAATCTCCGGCGAACCGGGCACCACAAATAACCAGCCTCCGACTCCTCCTAAAACGGAGTCCGAGAGCATTTCTCAACTGCTCAGTCATATTAAGCTTTTGCTCCGTCGAAAGACGGCTGCAATTGCTGCTCTTGATGCAGGGCTTCATTCGGAAGCTATTAGACACTTCTCGAAGATTGTAGATGGTCGTCGTGGTGCTCCACAAGGGTTCTTAGCCGAATGCTATGTGCATCGGGCCTCAGCATATAGATCGTCTGGTCGAATTGCTGAGGCAATAGCTGATTGCAATCGAACACTAGCATTAGACCCTTCTTGCATTGATGCTCTTAGGACTAGAGCTGCTTTATTTGAAGCTATTCGATGCTTGCCCGATAGTCTTCATGATCTCGAGCACTTAAAACTCCTTTATAATTCGATGCTACGTGATAGGAAATTACCTGGACCTATATGGAAGCGTCAAAACGTGCAATACAGGGAAATTCCAGGAAGGCTTTGTTCCTTAGGTGCTAAAATGCAAGAATTGAAGCAGAGAGTTGCTTCTGGTGAAACTGGGAATGTTGATTACTATGCATTGATCGGTTTAAGGCGGGGTTGTTCTAGATCAGAATTGGAAAGAGCATATCTACTGCTCACTTTAAGACACAAGCCTGATAAATCAACAAGCTTTGTTGAAAGGTGTGAGTTTGCGGACGAAAAGGATATAGATTCCGTTCGGGATCGGGCAAAGATGTCATCTTTACTGTTGTATAGATTGATCCAGAAAGGTTATACAAGTTTAATGACGACGATCATAGATGAAGAAGCTGCTGAGAAGCAGAGAGCTAAGGCTGCAGCTGCATTACAAGCAATGCAGCAACAAGTTCAGCAAACTCAAGAACTTCAACAATCTAGAGCTGAAACAGTCCGCAGTAACGCAGCCGCATCAAGAAGAGCATCAGAGGCTGCTTCCGATACTACATCAAGAGTAATTTCAGAGGCTGCTGCTAATACTTCATCATGTAACAACAGGGCAGAAAACAAGGTGGTGTCAAGTTCAACAAATGCATCAGCATTTCAAGGAGTGTTCTGCAGAGACCTTGCAATTGTTGGGAATTTATTGTCTCAAGCTGGAACTGGGTTTAATCGCCCAATTCCTATGAAATATGAGGCATTGAGCTGCTAAATGTTAAGGGTTTATCGTAAAAAATCAGACTGAGATTTAGCTTGGACAATGTTAATACCATCGGCGCTGGAGAAGAATCTGAATTTGGTCCAATATCTTTGTACAAAGGGAAAAAATATTGGTTACTATTGGCAGCCGGGAAAATTTTGTAACTTTATCTTTTAATCTATCTATTTTCTCTATTATTCTCTCTTTACTTCTTATATTTTTGTTTTTTTGTTGTCAACTTTTGGTCGCTTTTGCGCTACATGTACAGAGTTAAATTCAGCACCTAATTTATCTACCAGTATCCTTTCTCTTTTACTTCACTCCACAATTTCTGCAATTTCTTCTATTTTTTGATATGGTTGCTTTGTCATATTACTTCAGTTGTCCTCTGTTTGTTTAGATTTTGAGAAGCTGAGGAAATCCTAAAGAGGGGGTGAATTTAATGGTTCCATAGGAAAGGAAGGATTGAAAGTTTGAAAAAGAAGCAAAGTTTAGCTTCCATCCCATGTCTTTATCTGCTCTGCTTTCTTCACAGCACAGCACAGTACAAAGGCCATTGCATTAATTAGAGCAAGTGTTTACTCGTACTATGCTCTTTCTTTCTTTTTTTTATGTGTCAGGCTTATCTATACTACCCTGCCAAACCCTGACATTCTACTTGATTTCAATAAAAATGACTTTGTTACGTATTTCTTTTTTACTACATTCAAAAATTAGAATCTTTTGGTTCATCCTCTCAAATGTAATTTGTCCTGTTATAGAGCCTGTATAGGCTTTGATTATATATGCAGTTAGGTGTATGAATAAAATGATGAAGGAGTTGGCACGCAAAGTTGCATTAACTGCCAAAGATATATCTACCCCCAAGTAGAGTGGATTCTGAGAAGAGAGTTGTCTGTTTCTTAGGTTGAAAAAGTGTACGAAATGATGTACAGTAATAACTGAGTAAAGCGTGTTTGCTTCTGATAACTGATGAACTCAATAAACCAAGCAATTGAAAAACCATACTGTATTAGATATTTTATAGGCCTGGCCTTTTGGGAGTAACTTTTTCCATTGTCATTATCACAATTTACCATTTACTCTGCCTACCTTTGCATGGGTTCATTACTCATTAGTGCAGGACAGTGAGGTACGGGTAAAAAAAAGAAGGGGACCTCACCTCGTTCGCTTTTCTTCCTTCAACTCCCTTTTTTCTTCTCTTTCTGGGTTTTCTAATTCAGCGGCTCGATTTTCGGAGTTCTCCATACACATATGTCACACATGCAAACGTAACATGTACTTTGGTTACCATGTAGTAGTGCTTGTACAATTTCTTCAATATTGCGGTGCTCAAGCAAATCCCACGTCGATGAAACATGATATTGATATTCAATATATAAGGAAACAGGTCTCCGCGAGTCCGGACTTCTAAGGTGCCCACATCGACAAACACGAGAGATATTGGATATATAAGTTATAAATCCTAGTGACGCGTTTCATATTGAATGTCATGGTGTCCTCGTGATCACCAAATTATGGGTCCGCCTTTGTTTAGACGCAAAACGAACAATATTTCTAGTGATTGTTACAAATATCTTCTTCTTTATCCATTCATACACCAAATTGAACCTTTCCAAACAGTACTACGACATTATTTTAAACCGTTCAGTGTTTGAAGTTTATTACTATGACTAATTCAGACCCGAACTCAAAATTTCTAACTATTCCACCACATTATTTGGAGATAGTCTTGCTACATACAATACTTAGCTTTTACAATATTTATTTTCAGCAGCCAGAGTAAAACTTAAGGGGGCAAGACAATCGTTTATTGAAGTGGTGCATATCCCCTTGAAGACAGGAAGATAAGAATCACTATCCTTAAACCAATGCAACAACAAATATTCTCGTAGAGGTCGTCTGGCTTTTTGTGTAAGTGGAACTGTGAAACTATAGAGAAGTGCTTAGGAAATAACCAATCGACTCTGTAAAACTTTGTTGTTACCAAAATCCAATTTAGTGTTTCCCACTTCCCTCACTTTCCACTTACACCAAAATGGACCACTACTCCTATTGTATCTTGACTTATACAACAGCCTCTTCAGAGAATAGAAATAATAGCGTCTAACTTTCACAAATTGCCAATACGCAGTTTTTTTTATACTACTAGTTACTTATAAGTTAAAGGTGGTTTGACAACTTAAGAAAAGATCATTACTTGTTGCACCATCAAAGTGCACAGTAAAATAATAAAGATTCGTCTACTCTTAATTAAACGTTTTGTGTTCAATCTCTAGACTTGAGTATTCTTTAAAAGAAATAGCTAAAAACCCTTATATTAAAATTTCCAAGGAGCAAATTCAAATTAATCGGGTCAATAATTGCAAACACTGATTACTTGATGTACGTAAAAGAAGATAAGTAACTTGATAATTTATACGTAAACAATACTTATATCAGATTAAGGTAAGAGTTACTACAAATTAAAGTGAGAATATAGACCCATATGCCTATGATTAAGTACAAAATTATATTAAACATGTATGATATTCATTAGTTTAATTTAAAATCGAATTCGAGTAAAAATAAAATTTGACTAAATTATATGACTCGAATCGATAAAAAAAAGTTAATATTTGCAACTTTCCTTGCAAGTGACTTCAGAAGCTGAAATCCACTTCCTTTTGTATATAGCACTTCATCTTTTTCTTTCCTTTTGTTTTAATTCTTTCCCTATGTATGGATAGTGTTGTAGCCCTTTGCTTCCACACTAATCAAACCATTTCGTGATTCCCAAGAGGACCATCTTACCATGTTCCCCTTTTCCACTTTAAATCCAAATAAGAAGAAAATTAATACTACTATTAACTCTTAAGTATTTTGTCCCTTTTTTCCTTAATTCCATTTTTTGCAATGTTTGACAAAATTGTTTGATAATGATGGATCAAAGGACAACATTAACACATAATGATGATTAAAGTGGCTAATAACATGGGCTTATAATGACGGAATATATTCATACTTCCTTGGCACTCTGCGGTTTCAGATAGCCATCATTCACCTTATGTAGACAAAGAAAGCCATAACAAAGAAAGAAAAAGGCATAAAGAGAGAAGAGTCACGTGCACCCCATAAAGAATACTGCAATCTGGAAATGTGGGTGACCAGTGAGAATTAACGAATCTAGATGAAAAGGAAAAAGATAAAAAGTACTAGTACATGATTGATTTCCATTAATTTGATTTTCCCAATATCTAGCTAATTATGTACATTTGCTCAACTGTTATTGTTTTGGCTATGCATTTTAGACCATAGTAACATTTTTGACATGACATATATATTTATAGACATATGCTAGCAAAATATCAAAAGTATTTTATTGTATTAACATTGACTTGATAATAAAATTTGAAAAATTCCTATGGAAATTCGAAGCCTCTACTCTTCGGGTGCGCAATGAGTAAACTGCTTAATGTACAATAGCTCGTAAACCACACATGAAATATAAATCGTATTTGAAAAATATGGTACGACGAGCTCTGACCGATAAAATTAGTAAGTTGTTTTACTTCTACTGTTTGTAATTTCGTGATGTATCATTAAAGTGCATAATTCAATAGTGAGAAGATAAAAAGAAGAAGAGGAATATGAGTAAGTGGGGAGAAAGTGGAAGGACATGTATTGTAGTGAAAGTATACTGCAAAACAAGTTTGAATTTAGCAATCTTTAGTAGTAGTATCTCAAATCTCAATGTTTAGTGAAAATAAATTAATTAGTAGTTGATGAAACTTTCAATGCTTATTCTGACAGGGAACAATATTCTATCCTATGGGTAAAGCACGATAATATTGATTACTAGGTTTTTTAAGTAGGGTTATGTCATAGGTCTATGGGATCATATGAAATCGAAAAACATCCTCTCGAGGAAAATTTTCATTTTTATGTAAAGTTTGAAATTAAAATTATAATTTCTTGAGGCGAAAGTGAAGGTATTAGTAGTTAGCACCGTTTCCAAAGAGGCATCTTTTGATATGGTAGAACTCTGGATACAAACCCCCTTTCCAATTTTCCACACATCTGTATCTTATAAGTTGATTAAGTTTTTGAAGAGTTTGAAGACGTCTCTTATCGAGATCGAGGCTATCAAATGGTTTATTGTCTTATCTAGGATTTTCTTCTTTTTCTTTCTTTGGAATGCGAAGGTGAGGTAATAAGTTTCTAAACTTTTTATTTAGTTTTTATCACTTGTTACTACGTGCATTGGAGCCCAACTAATTTAAATTTTACAAAATTCTTATTTACATAATTCGAATTCGAGACTTTTAATTAAGAATAAATAGATTTTATTCATTTCACCATAATCTTTAGTAGTATAATAATAATCTTACTTCTATATATGTTGCCTTTCTATTTTACTTTATTTTAACTATAATGTGATATCATCAATGATATGACAAAAATTGGTTGGGAAATGGGCATATATCAGAACTTATGACCTTACATAACTTGAACGACCAAAATTTTATGTTAGTCTTACTACTGTCTTAAGCTTATTCGAATTTTCTTTTTACGTCGTTAGTTATTAGTATAAGCTATTTTAATACTTGGCGGAAGAATAGTTTGGTGGTCAAAACTTAACCACACATTAATTTTTAGCCTAAAGCAAACGTTTGATCATACAAATCCAATCTTACTTAAAACTCCCTCGTTAATTATAGTTAATCGTATCCGTCATTAAACAGTATGCTAGCTATTATCTTCCTAGGTGAATATGAAGTGATCTTCTCATTGATAAATGTTAAACTTGTTTTTTTTTTAAAAAAGAAATCTTCTCATCGAAAAAGGTTTGTATATTAAAAAATGATATAAAAAAGAAAAAAAGAAAGGGGAACACGTGATGTTTGAATGTTGGGAACATCGGAAAGAGGAGAAGTCGTGGCCAGATAAGGAACAGTAGTTGTAAAACAGATTGGAGCTTAGCACTAAGATGACGATTATTGATGTCAGTCTTCACTCTTCTCGTCTGTGGATTGCATGTGATTTTTCTCTAATTTTATGGATTTCATGTGCTCTCTCCCTCTGACTTTGGTTTTGCCCTTTCCCATTCACATTGTCTTACCAATTCAAATATATGTATATTGATAGAGTAAAGGTTTATTTGAATCGATTATTGCGAGTTAATTATTTACAGCATTTTTTATGCGCTTTTCACATTAAAATTACCATAGACAATATTAATGTTTTAGATCATCTTAATACAATACGATGGTATAACAAAAAAACAGTTGGGATTTTTACACAAACTCAAAAACTTATCAGTTCAAAAAAATTAA